GTATTGGCGGTTACCTTTCGCTTGAAACCTTTTGAGTTCAGTGTGTTTCAGAAAAGCCATCCTTAATCCCCATCCGTGAGAAAAAGCCATTTCAATCCTTCGAAACCGGCAAGATGCAGCTGCACGTCGAGGTGGTTCTGGGGATTGAGTGCTCTAATGTTCTCACTTAACACATCCACAGAAGCCTGATTTCACAAAAGGCGAGCATGTGAGAAAAGCAGAAAGATGGCAAACAAAAGCCGTCATGAGTACAAGCAGTTAAGTTATCAAACTGTCACGTGTTAAAGCCGTGTAGTCCTTTTCAATGTGTTAGATTGAACATATTGATGACCAGGTCGCTCGTAGTGATAGAAATAATAATGCTGCGAGATTGCGCCTACAACAAGAAATTTTCAATGGTCTATTGGTTGACTTCGACCGCGCTGCATCCTTTTGTATAATCGAAAATCTTCCAGAATTGCTTTCTGGTATAGCTAGAAAGGCGCCTGCTGTGTTCAGCATCATCGGTGATAAAAACGTAATCCCTTGCAATCGGATTTATTAGGTTATTGCTACAACAAGGATAACCACACTGCACTCCAAACAGCGCTCCACTCTGTTCAGTTAAAGACAGATGGCGCTGTCCCAGAAAATGTTATCATGTTCCACCACTTTGGGCCAGATTATTGGGTTACAAAAATGGGAGGCGATAGCTTGAACCCCGGCCTATATAGCCGGTAGGCACCAGTTGCTTGCAAATAAGTTTCTAGGGATGCTCCTTCAATAGCCCTTGTCACAACAATCAGATATTTGACTGCGAATTAAAAGGTCCATTGACCTTAGACGTCCGTGTTCCGATCGAAATAAATAACACTTCGTTAAATCAAAGATTTCGTTGCCACGCTAAGCTATGTTGGACATAGAAAGCTTCAAAGAACAGCAACTCTGTTGCCACTGTAATCACATGTGCCTTGTACCAGTTGAAACGGCACACTGGCCATAGAAGGCGCCAGCCAATGGGTCGAAATATGTAAGACACGAATCAATAGTTCGCCTGTAAAAAATTTAACTAGATACATACAGCGAATGCTTGGAAGTGAATATTTTTGTTCTCCTGCAGCACAGTGTTTGCAGACAGCAAACGCGGGTAAATATAATATAATTGTACCTGCCCAAATAAAAACGAAATTCGGCAGCAACTATCCATAGTGAAATGTATAGCGTCAACATAATCGGGCAGCTTGTATTGTGCCTAGACGCCGGAAGGTGAACAGTCCCCGGCGACGCATCTTATAAAACTCATCAGTGTGAAATCGAAAAAAGAGTAATATCCTGCAAAAGGAGCATGTAAACAGATATACTTATCCATCATATGGACAAATTGGTAGTAAATAAAGACCGCAACCAAATAACCGTGGCTTAGAAGATGCTGTTGTACCGCTTCCTGAAGGTTGGCTGAAGTAGGTGGAAACAACCAGTAAATGCTGGGCCAATTTCTTCGTTTAAATATGAGGTTTCGGTTTTATCTGCCAGTTTCAAGAGTGTCTAAAATACGGACAACGCTGCCAGTTCCATAATAACCATCTTCCGTGATATGCATGCGGATGTTGATCCAACTGACTGTCGGCATCACTGGTACTTTTGGGCGGGTTATTAAGTTCTTAGGGGGAACAGTCTCCCAGGTTCACCGGATCAAATGTTGCATTCTCTATACCACTGAAAATTTCAAATTGATAGATACACATAAAGGTTGCTACTACCCTGAACGCCTGTGTCGCCGAGGTATTTCCGGAACTTTCGCGCATCTATCACGATCGCGTGGTCGAACAGAATTATCTTTGAATCTAATCAAATTGCAAAGCAAACAATGCTTAATAATCTAACGAATTTCCCATCACAGATTAGCGTCGTTTTTCACACCCGCAAATTACTGCAAATATAAGATCATCCTTGATAACTAGCTAATTTAGGTAGTAGAAACGTTAACCTCCTAGTATGTTTGGTATCTAAGTTTGGTAAGCGAACCGAACACTCTACGTAGTTTGAACTCGCCGGGTTAGGCATTTTAAATGACAATCAGCCAATTTCCCCAAAGGCAAATTCTTTGAACATCAGAAGGGATATGGAATCATTACCAGCAGCTTAAACAGTAATATGCTAGTGCAATATGAAAGCTGTTTCAAGCAAACACAGTCATGGTGATCACTATTCTCCTCTTGTATGCAGGCTTTAGGACATCGGCGGTAAGAGGCAATATCGGAGATCGTGCGGTTGGTATTCATTGGCACATGCAACCAAGCTGTTTCTCTTGACGCCACGAGAACAGAGCACATCAATAAGTTACTCCGGACGTAGACACCGCCGAAGAAAATAACGTTTTAATTGCTGGACAAAAATTCTCACAGATTGAAACTTCATCGCTGTCCGGGATCTTTGCTTCACGCATGATAGCTTCCTGTTACAGGGGATATTTTCTAACTAATAAGACTCCACGTCAAGTACTCCTGTAAACAATTGGTCAGCATAATGATTGATTAATTAGAAGCATTATGCGCAAACCGTGCTTCACGCGGCGCAATGAAATCTATACGCACACGCTAGTTACTTAGTGGGGACAACGTTCATTATAGCCAAAAAGGTGACGGAAGCCAAATTAGATGCTACCGAAATGCAATAATTGGTTAAAAGTTATTGACTCATTTTGAGAAACGAATCCAATAACTTTCTTCTAAGCTTCTGCGTTTTACTCAAACGAAATGATTCTTCTCACTTTGTCAAATTATTGGTATTTATCATCAACATTTTAATTGTATGGGCATGAAATTTTTTCATAACGCAGTCCGCCAACTGATTCGCCAACATTGTTGATGAATCTCTTAGAGATTCGCCTGAGTGTCTATCTCGCAGATAATTCTAACATAAGACAATTTTTTTAACCATTTAGTGTTTTACTAATAGAGTATCATTTTTTTCACATGTGATGCTTATGTTCATCTTTTCGCCATGTCAAGTGCAAAGCATTTTGATTGGTTGTAGGGATAGCTTACTGGCAATAGAAGGTTAAGCTTTATAGTCCATGCGCCACATTGTGAAACTACTGAGCAGCGCCGCAGTGATTTTTCCTGACCTTCGGCTAAATGGCGGTAGAATGAACGCAAACTAAGAATACGAAATAGCGCCGCTCCTAGTAGAAAAGATGAAAATGATGGCGGACGGAAAAATAATGTCAAGAGGATTTTGAAAATGTTGAAGAAAAAAATCGATCAAGTTTTGGCAGGCTAGTCGCCCTTTCGCAGCATGGATAAAACCAAGCTTCTCTACGCAACGATTGTAGTTATGAGCTTACCCTTTTGCTAAATAAAAAGCCTAATAAACTATGAGGCGGGAGACAACAATAAAGTCTATATCTTGGGAGCATAAGGGGATAATCAATGGATGCGCACCAAAAAAGGTTCAAATGTTCAAACCGTGGGCTCATCGCTTTAAGCTTATATTTTAAAACCTCATCTAAGTCTGTTTGGACGGAGGTTCTCTTGTTTCACTTAGAGGATTAACTATCACCTGCTTCCTGGTTTCCATTGTCTGGTTTGTGGAGTCGTCACGCGTCCTAAGGTGATGCGTGCGTGTACTCCTCCCTGTTCGGTGCTCATGTATGTCGCTGCGATAGCTGAAACCGGCAAACGATCATGTGAAATTACGCCTACTTTAGAATTTCACGGAGCTGACGTTATCCATTTATCGACTTGTTGTTCAACAAGGCCGTATTCCTGTCACGAGATTGACGCGTGATTGTGAGCAAGTTAAAAAAATGATGGGTTCAAAAGGCATCGGTGCGAAATTGATTCGGGGTAGAAATTGAGTGGAGCAATAATCGATATATTGTCACCCGTTTGTGTTACCATATTGTTACCATATTGCAATTATCCCTAGGTCATGTCAAATCGTGTTCAGAAGTTTGTGATCCGATCGTGAAATCTTAAAATGCCTCCAATCACATCGGGTGAAGCAAGCGAAATAAATAACTTGTCCTTGATCCAAACATTAGATATTTGTTGGTGTTCGTAAGCAGAAACAACGTGAATTTCCCCATTTGCATATATAATCATTTTTCATTGATGGATAATCAGCTCTTGTTTATTAGACACTTGTTAATGTGCTTTACGTTAGGTAGATAAACACAGTTCGACACATGCCGGTACTGGTATGTATGTGGATATTACGTGAACCCTGAACAAGAAATGTTAGTGCCAATCAGGGCTTTCTGGGAAATGTTGTTATCTGTGACACAATAAAAATAAGAGTGCAAATTGAAGGATTTAAAAACTTACAGATATGGATGCTGTGTTAGTCAAAGTCTTGCGCGTGCATAAATTGTCCGCGTTCAATTTAAACAGTGTCTATTGTGCCTTTATTTGATCGCACGATACAATAACCTTTGCTTAGAATATTGTACTGTGAAATTCAAACTGTTGCTCTCGATAGACAGATACAATAACCCAAGCACCGAATAATCAATGTCGTTCGCTACGGAGGCCACCAGATGCCTGAAATGACGAGCTTCGGGGAAAGCACTTTGCATTTCTTTGTGCTTACCGAATTTGAAAGTTGAATGAATAGACAACCGTCCAGCATCCAGGGCAATGTATGTGTATTCGAGTTGTTTCCCCAGCAGATCACGTCCGACAGAATACACCCATATATTATTCTAATAAGTAAAATTGGGCACTCCGACTATGCCAGGATTCCGGGTCTCCAAAATCACGGTGGTTTGCCATCATGAAGCCACCAGCCGCAAAGTGGCGCGCGCCAATGTACGGAATGTCAAATATGAACTCTAGAAGTTTGTCACACACCTTCTTATAGTAGGAGTAGATTTGGATAAGTGTTTGAAAATTGAGCTTTAGATAGGACAGTCCGATTAGCGTAAGCCCGCTTTCAAAAGAGGCCGAATCGGTGGATTACTCCCACGAGCGCTTCATATTCTATCAATGCAGGGATTTATACTTTGTTTCACATTGCAGCAGTTGTGAAAACAACGGATCATCGCAAAGGCCTTTGCAGTGTCAACAGTTACAAACCAATTGTGGATGGATTGCAATCAAGTCATTTGCCCTGACTAAAACCCCAATTTCACTCCGACATTACGTAAGTGAGCAGAAAATTGAACGGAAGATAGCCGCAAATATGGAAAGGGACTGCATTTCGCAAGATATGTTTTCCATCACATGTGTTCCATTAACCAGATTTAGGTAGTAAACGAGGACTACTATTGCTGCCTTATCGGCCGATGATTCCAAAAGCTCCATGGTGGTAAATTTTTGGGTTGAGTTGTCAGCATAAATACCCGTCCGTCGCTTTGCAAGACCGTTAGCCAATGCAGCCCTCAACAAATATTGTGTACAGAGTATAAACTTTTGCCACGCCGAACACTCCTGCAGTCCCATTTTTTGTGCCTCCGAGGGTACGTCGAAAAACACAGCACGCATGATGCAAGCAGACACCGTCTCTGTTTTGCACTTAAAGAGCAGACTGTAAACAAGCAGACAATAAACATTGGGGAGGGCGACTTTCCAGAGGCACTGGACAAAAAAGAGAATGTTTCAGGTTAAATCGATTATGTAGCCTGAAAATCCCTAAACGAAATGCGCGGATCTTTATTTGATTAGACCTCTGCAATTATTTTTGGGACTCCAAACTTACCCTGACTTTGAATATGTTACGTGTAAATATTCATGTATGAATCCTGGGACGTGGTTACACGTGGTATCTGGGAAACAAAATAACTGCAATATCTCACTTATACGTATAATTATACTTATAATAATACTTATACACAGTTGTGCCACCGAGAATTGAAGCTTTAATACCTGTATGCAGATATATTTCACTCAGTTAGGCATAGTGTCTGGTGAGACTCATCAAAGTCGACATGTTTCATCACTTTAGCGTTTGAGCATGAATGAGTATGATGGGCGCCACGTGAGCTAAAGAAAGTTGGGGTGATTGGAGAAGGCATCCATATTTTGTTCGTTGCAATGTGAGGACGGTAACACCTCAAATCTGGAAACCACCACTCAATTGCCGCAGTAGATGCCGAAAGGCTTTGCTTATTTTCCACAGACATAATTTGGTACTGCCTGAATGCATTGAGCAAAATGTCTACAAACTGTTTGAGTGTACGCAAAATATCTGCATGTTCGCCAGATTAAGCTATGTTCATAAACAGGTGTGGATCACCCAGCAAACGCAAGATCATATTCTAATAACGCGAAAACTATATCACCATCGAAAGTAATTGAAATGGGGTGCCGGGTTTGGCCCCCTTTAAAATACGTGAAAATAAACTTGATCAGTCTCTTCCAAATTTCCTCGCCAAGGAGTCAGAAACTCCCGGTGCTTGGAAAGCTGTGCACTGCTTTCCGTTTCCAAACGAAGCTTTACAGTGACACCTAAAATATTTGCATATATTGGCTTCGATAATCGGGTTATATCTCCGTATAAGTGCGTAAGGGTCCAACTTTGGAAGAGGTTGTTTCACATACTCCTTGCTCGTTGGCACCGTCCGTCTGCACATCATGAAAACGTAAACCTCCCTCCCTGATTAAAATAAACCAGGTAGCACCGTAGTCCTTATCGATAAATTCCGGTAACTTCGTAATGATCTAAGTAGGCAGCATTTAGCGCTCAGCGACTCTTCGCTCCACACGGTGAAAGGACACTAAGATTTCACGCTTCGATGTAAATTCAATAGTGGCCTCATCTTCAAACTTCCCAAGAAAATTTACACCTGGTTTGAAACACAAACTGCACATACATAAATTTATTCCCGAATTTTTATTAAGGTGTGAAATACGTGAGCAATTATTCTTAACTTCATTTAGCCATATATACGTTCATCGAGTCATATAAAAAATCATCGAATCGCTGTGTTTATTAGTTTAACAGTGTTTTGACTTTCAGCATACAGAAGCATTCTGGAATGTTCATCTCAGATCACGGGTGAACTCTACGTCGGTGTACTCATGGAAACTAAGTGTGTCATAATTTGTTGTTCAATTGATCGTTGAATTAAGCGAGCTTAAAAGAACGCTTGATATTTTCCAATACTGATGAATTACATTGAATTGAAATTGAACCACGTTGTAGTTAATTCGTCTGACTCGCATTGCCAACATGAATAAAAATCCGATTATATTTGAATTGTGCTTTTGACTTCAAGAACGGAAGAAATACCTCACCCACGATGGATGAAATTTTTACCCTGGATTGTTTTCGCTGACTTTATCACGTGTTGCTTGTAAACGTCGATCAAATTCTTAGAAGGGTTCCCTTTTCCAGAAAGAGCGAAGTGTGAAATGAGACAGAGAAGGTCAAAATATGCTGATGTACGTATGTCTAGCTTGCAGAGTGTGAAAGATCATTGTGGATATTTGTAATTTTGTTTATATTTTAGGCTTCTCAATACTTGACTCACTAACATGGCCGCTTGTTTTCTGGACGTAAACACATTCGTTTATCTCATAAGCTGAGCGAAGTGATATATATTCTTCCCCATCATTGTTATATGATAGTTCAACAAGATTGCATTCAACATTTGACGAAGCGACTTCCTGAACTAAGTGCAAATGAATTTTTTGTTGTGAGAGGCAGTGAAAGGTACGTCGCATTATTCCCTACCAACAGGTGTGTTGCTTTATGTCACCAGATGTTTCATCATTTTCAACGAGGAGCTAGGTGCCATCTTATTGCAAGCTGAACAGATCATCTCGGTATATTTTTGCATTGCACGTATAATTATACGCTGGCGTCAGGTAAGTCAAACAAACAATGAGGCCAAAGACAAAGCAAAAGTACAGATTGGTGCATAGCCAATTTTCAAAACGAGGGCTTCATACATTGATATATAACTCCCGATATATAACTCCCAAATTGCGGTCAATTCAGCCATCTGTATTGAAAATAATGTCTCTATCATTTTTCACAATAACTGAATAGTCGAAAAAGAAAAGATATGCAAAACTGATCCACCTCTGAATTTTTTATGTATACTACAACAATGCACATTTTATATGAGCAATTAAGTAAATTCAAATTCGTTCGTTTTCAAACGGATGTCCAAATCCGACTGACCTAGTATAATTCTAATTACATAAGCGTCTTACTAAGAGTAAGTTGTGTTGACAATTCTGATTAAATACGCGGAACGGATTCACGATGTTCCTGATGAACCTGCGGAAGATCTCCAATTTGTGTTTTATGGTTAACAACCACTTGAGTGAAGACCCGTTAACCCACATCCAGTATTCATAACTGGGCAACAGGTTGCTTGAATATTCCGGCTAGATAGGTGGTCTATGTGTATCTGAGCTTACTCAGTCACACGCGATTCATAATGATTTCATGTTTGTTTAAATTGTTTTGTGTCATTGTCGGCAGGTTAATATTCCGTCAGATCAGTTGCGATTTCCTGCAATTTCCTGCATGCTTGTTTTAAAAAAAGGTGATAGTTTCGGAGTCACGTCCGGCTTGCATTTTGGACAGGTTTACTATTTTTTAAACGCTACTGATTGATGTATCATTCTTCTGATTTTCAGAGTTGTTTCGGTTACATTTCGAAAGGAAATGGTAATTCGGTTGTAGGTTATCAGTCATGGCTTTCTATTACTCCTACGTTTCACGTGGCGGTTACCGAAAGGCGTCCAAAGTGTGAGTGCTTGGTATGGAAAGTTGAGCAGCAGTACATTCAATGTTTGCACGTAGTTGGTGAATAATAACCTAACCCAAACGAATTACCTGACTATGAGTTATCCTCTGCCGTGAAAGCACATGATTTGTACCTCATGATTTGTAACTCAAAGCTTCACAGGAGGCAGAGCTCTTTCCATCAGATGTGCGTGCTGGATCAAAGCTTCTGGATAGAAATATTTACCTCAGTGTATACCTGTATACAAGTGACAGCAAATCATTGTTAGTGCATTACGGTATTTTGTTTAAATGTTGCTCCAGAATATGTCATACGACAATGCAGGGCGACCAAATGTGACGTCAAATGCGCACACAGAGAAGCTGTTCCATTGTGCGGCAATTTTACTTTTGCAACAATCAAATACAGTCAGTTTTATTGTGTGCTTTAATCCGAAGGGGTGGCAGAATCATCGATGGTGACTTTCAGTACTTATTACCGTATGAAAATATGGATCACATCACAAATCTACTTCAAAAAATTGAAATGATTGTGCATCGCATTTTAGCATATGGAAAGATGAAAAAGCTTTAACGTACTGGATTTGCGAATGATGACCTGAAGACATTCCTTTCGTAAACTACATGAAAGACAATTCAGTTCGATGAATGGTCTATGCTTTATTTTAGGCAACTTGGTCTTCGAAGTTTTTGTGAGGTGCACTGTATTGAGGAATAAGACCGGTGAACCTATTGATCTAATATGCTCAAGCACATATTCGAACGCGAATAATCGATTTTACAACCAGGTAGATAGAACATTCCTGCCGAACTCACTAACCTTTTGGGAAAACAACTTGAAGATTAAACTTTTCTTTTTTCGTGTTCAATAGACCCACAGCTTGACTCCTGATCTGGAATTGGGAATATTAACAATGATACCCTATAAGGGGGAATACGCGAAACTGGTTTCTGGTACCGCTGGTGCTTTGCGTTATGTGTGCAAACGACCGAGTTTCCCACTCAGAGAATAACGAATTATATTAGCTAGGAATGTAAACTATACACGCTTACTTAATTAGGCTGTTGAAATTATGTTCCTCAGCTGTCTTTTTCATTATTAGCCGCTGGACGTTGACCGATATGTTAGAAAACCAGCGGATTTTGCACAAAATACAGATTTTAAGTGAGCGGCGGTCGATAAATCTGTCTTTAATTTTTATCCCACTTTATTTTCCTTTCTCATATGGAAAAGTGCGGAGAGGTATCCCTTCAGGAATATAGAGAATTTCACTGGAACGACTCCTTAGATGAAGCAATATGTAGTAAATCATTCTGTATTGCAAATCAATTGTTCTGTCCCGTAGACAATAATATATGCCATCGAGCCCAACGCGGTGCTGTTTTACAGTTGGATTTATCAAAAATCGGACAAACATTTTCTGAACAGCTCTGCCATCAGTAGGTACAATTAAGCACGATATCGCTTGTTAATAAAAATAGCGGCTCTTCCATCGAATTGAAATATTGAAATATTCAATAACAGTGTAACATCAGGGAGCCTACTACCGGCGCAACATTGGCCCGTTTGATGCGGCTTCCGGATTTCGTAATTCGGGTTATTTATGATAGATTTGAGTCGTTTGTTTGCTATAATACTGATCCGATGATTCAAGTAGCTTAGTTAATTTTCGAACTGCACACTATTCTGCGCTTCATAACTGACCCACTTTCAAAAAGGCATGCGTCGCTTTCGTGCGCCGAACTTAATCACATGCCTACACACATTTCTACAGCGCTAAAACCGACCTTCCTAGAACATTCCAATTATAACGGAGATCTTAGTGGGTAAGTCGTTCGGATGACGTCAACCAGACCCGCTTGTTTTCTGAATTGAAATTTTGGAACAAAAAACGAACTTTACTTTTGTCCCTGATGTTTCTGCAATCCCCTTTGATTCATACGTTTGATAAGGTCTTTATTACGGGCGGGTGTATCAAAGCATTTCTAATATAAATTGAAACGAAACAACGCAATAGGAAAAAATAATATCCAAGAGCGTGGAGACTGCGATAGGTCAGTGTACTCTGCATGTACAAATTTAAGGTGTGCCGTTCCCACAGTGGCCTGCCATAAGTCAAGTCATCCGTCCAAAATTCGTCATCAATTCGCACGGTAACGTGTAGATGAAATGGTTTGACTGGTACAAAAAATTTTATCGGTAGCTTACTTACACATAGCGTCTTTGTGCAACCCAATGTGTGGGCTTTTGCCATGCGTGTACTGATTAGTTAGAACAGTTAAAATATTGATCGCCAGCTAAGAAATTTGGTGACAAGCATTAGCTTGAACTGTGCATTCATGACAGTTGAAAACACACCATGCGCTTGAGAGAGATTGTGGCAACACAGGAAACATATAAGTACTTGAGGAATAGCGGTATGCTGCAAGGCTGGATGAACAATGGCGTACAAGGTATTGATTGTTCTCCTCTGCGTTTTCGTATATTCAGGTGAGACAATTTTGCCGAAGTGCAAGTCCTTGATTTCATGCAGAATAATTTAAAACATCCTTTTGTTAGCACTATGAATTCCAAATTTGAAATCACTCTGAGTGTACAGGTACATTTTGAGCAGTAACGGCGTAGCAAACTAACACCAATGAACGTGATCTACTTCATACACACGACAAAAATTCGGTTCAGACATAGCAGCGTTATGAGTATAATTTGGAATTTAGCTGATGAAATATATGTTGCTTGCACAAAAAGCGGGGGCCGAAAACCAGACGGAAACACGTAAGTGCATATTCATTTGTTTTCCCGAAAATGATCAGCAAGTAACAATATGTTTAAACGCAAGACCAAACGCAAAACCGTGTATCGAAAATCACAGGGTGATTGCGCAAAAAGCAGGCAAGAGCATTATCAAAAGTAAATTGACACCTGACGTGTAAATTACTCAGGGTGTTTTCTTGAAGCGACCGAGGAAATTTCATAATCGCAACGTCAGGTCAGAGGTATGTGAAAACGTTAGATTTATAGACGGTTAATTCATGATATTAGTGGTTAATTATATTCAGTTTTGAAAACCAACTGGAAAAGATTTTTCTTGATTTTTTGTACCTCGTGGCTATAAACACTACGATGAGACTAATAAATCTGAAGACTATTGTAAACAACCGATAACAAAGCGCGAAGTATCTGGCCGGTTACACTGGTTCGGCGCCGCCAGTTATGAGAAATTTGGAGCCTACATATTTAGCTCGTTTGAACTGAGCGCTGCGTCTTTCGCCGTAACACCTGAGTGAAAAAATGTTGCCAATAAATATAATCAATTATAAATGGAGTGCGTCCACTTTGACAAGAATTTTGTCGGCCAAACAATGAACGGGAATGTTTGTGTTTTCGGTAGCGAACGGGAATTTTTGTGTTTTCGGTAGCGCGTTCGTCACTGTCAGTTTCCATAAAGCAAAATATTGCTTTTATTATGCCCTCAGGCTGATGACGTGTACAAAATCCATCTAATTTTTAGCAATCGCAAGCAGAAGGCTTAGATCATACTACAATTTAATGGCATATTATCATTCCGTTCACCTTCAGGAGATTTCGGTTGAGAGTGATTCGGGAAATTATTTGAGGTTGTGTGTTGTTTCGAAATATAAAACCACATGAGGTCCGAAGAATTTGCCTGAAAATGGGCATGTTGTCAACATCTAGGCTCTCATATGTTTTGTTTCCCACGAAAAATGAACTGAAGACAAATGGATTAATGGATGGTGTTGCCGGATTTAAACCGATCAGGCTCTACTCATCTGAATTTTTGGCTATAAAATATGGGTTATTATTGCGATTGGTTTAAGCAAGCAAATTATCGAACCTGGAAACTCCACATTCAGACCACATACATGTTAATCGAAGCTGAAATTACAGCTGTTTTTTCGGGACGAATCTATCGTTGCTGCCTAACAAAATGTCATCGATAGGAATCATACGATTTAATATAATCACTACATTACAACCACTGTTTACGTCATTTGCGCACACGATCAGCGCGTAAGCACTACATTTGAGTCAATATCTCCATTACTGACCAGCTGTCACGTGATCAAACATAACAAAATGGTTTGCTGCCTAAGCAGATATACCGTAAGCGGATATACCGTATATCTTTTCAAGTCTGCTTTCCTTCAATTTATTTGTGAACAATATCCTGACTTCACAGTGCCTTATACCTGACATACTCAAGTGCAAGAATGTTTGCATGAAGGTGCGTTTCACGTCACTTTTAGTAGTTGGTAGTTGATATTGTATTAAGTGAAGCAAGAAACAGTGGTTGGGCATCACTCTCGTGTTTACTGCAAATGCCAAGTTAAGGAGATAACAAACCCCCCGACCTATCCTCTGGCAACCATAATAAAAATTAGGACACGTCAAGTTCAATTAACGAAAAACTTAAAAAAAAGAAAATGTATACGCTATCTTACTGAAACGAATACACGAGGAAAAACGATACACGTGAGCTGCAGAAGCAATAAAGCAATATCCCTGTTCTCCACCAAGAAGTACATTTAGGTTTACAAATAGTTGGATGGTTTGGCTTTGTGTTATATCTGTAGTCGACCAAATAGATGACATTAGTAGATCAACCCGTCAAACAGTTGCATCCGAATTCCTCACATGCAATTGCTCAGGATAAATGCTTGCAGACCCAAGGTTTACTTTGCAAATTCTCCCGAAAGTACGCTTCTGACTGTCGAACATTCAACGACCGTTCATCAGGTGTACTTTCTTGAATTTTCTCCTCACGAATTAATGAGCACCAAGGCGCTATGCTGGCGTGCACTGTTTTGTCGCTAATGTGCGATTGTGTAAACGTTTTGTGATGCTTTATCGCTTTCTAGTATTCCTCTCGATTCGGTTCAAACAACACAGCTCGTATGTCAATGCTGTTTTAAGAAATCAAATTTTGAGACTGTGCCCATTGAGGCTTCGATTTTCAATGCAATTCTTAGTTGTGTGCGATTACGCTGGCGTTCATCCCCGTAATACATATTTTCTGTCCACCGCAATTAGTGAAAATGTGTCCCGATAAGAGTAAGTTGTGTGGTTTATTAAAAAGTATAAAAGTTCCTGCAGAAAGTGTGGTATGCAACGCTTGAGCAACAGTGGTGTACGCACGAATCAGTAGTTTCTGAAAGACCGTATCTAACAGGCTACTCCAAGATATTAACGAAACAGTATACGCCTGTCGCATGCAAAATTGAAACACACAAAGGACGCTTGGAAATTTTTCAAAAGTGAACATAATTAGAACCCAGTTTGAAGTGCGGTTGAAGACATTGCACGGAAGACGGTGTTTTTCATTGCAACAAATGTGTTTTTTATTCAGTATCGAACACTTCGCAATACCCACTTGCTAGGAAAAATGCGCCAATAGGAAACCTCTCAGTTACCCAATGGATAACAAAGTTGCTGCCTCAATTTTTTAAGTTCTTTAGACTTTTTGACAAGCTTTACGCCTTATATGCCAGCATTGTTCTATTATTTATGTATTTCATTAGCGATGGATCGTGGATCTCAAGTAAAAAAAAGGCGTGCAACGCGCAAACGCACATGTCTCTAGAGCGGCTGTGTAACATGGTGATCCCCATTACGCTCTTGGTCACTCCCAACGTGTTCCCCTATTCTGGCAGCGTCAAAAGGTCACTTAAACCATTTTTCACAAAGTTAAAGGCATTTCTACGGTCCTTGGTGTTTGGATACACGAAATGAACCCTATTAGTTTGTGTGCTGCGGCCAGCCTCCGGGAAGGAGTCCACAGTATATCACAGTCCCTACTATTTGGTACACATAGTTATTCATGCATATTCAAATTGAATCGGGACCTAATTGCTTGGTGTCTAAAATCTACGCGTGGCACTGAATGGTGTAAGCTGATCTGACAAACCTTCAAAAGTGCAGTGAGACAGGAAATTAACCCTGTTTGCACATTTTGCATGCTGCACGGGTAACACCTCCGAAGCATTATGCACCCGTTATCCACCCCAATATAAAGTTGAAGCATGCTGCAATCCGTTTTTATGGATATATAATTAGTTTATTTTGTTTACCGAGTAAAAGCAGATTAAGTGTAACAATTTGAGATATCTTTGCCCATAACAGCCGGATGAATACCGCCAGACATAAAACCATTGCGCGGTAATCTTCGTTGCATTATAGGTCACTCTTAACATGTCCATTAACACGGGTAGCGTTGAACGTTAGCTTCAGCGATCATTCATCTAACCGGTCGAATTCTTGAAATCTCTGTCATCTGCGTAGATCATTTGAGTACATATGAGCTGCCTTGCGGCTTTGAGGCTTTCCGTATTCCTAACACATGCTAATCGCTATGCCAGTTTCAGGCTTTCCGCGGTCGATATGCCTTTTGCATGTTCTCTGTGAGCTGCGTGATCCACTGTTTAAGACCCACTTAGTTAAGATTGGATGAGTTGTGACAAAAATTAGTAACTATCCACGGTGTCCCCGTTGATTGTACACAACATCGGTGAAGCTTATGGCAACACTAATTTTCCACACAGGTCAAATTACATGGAAGTTTTTGGGCTTAGTACTTCAGGTTGACCTGCAAATATATGCCCACTTCATTAAATGCGCACATAAACGGTAGCATTTCCGGGCTCTTTTTCTGCCGCAGTTCTCCGTGTGTTCGATCACTATTTAGGTTCGTATATTTTTGTTCGCCACGTTTGGAAATAACGGTGATTTGTTTATCCACCAGCAATACATACGTGACACTAGCCAGTGACAGATTGTAACATATTGCCGACAACGTTATCCATAAGGTGGTAAAAAATAGACTGGTAAATAATACAATTCTCTTTATATTTGATTGGCGAAGACCATATTTCTCGCCGATTAGCATTTGTAAACATTGGGAATGATGCGTATCGCTCATTTGACTTTTGAACAGCGGCCAATTTTGTTTGATGCTTTATCGGCGTTATGTGTCAGCCATCAGTTCCAACTAAGTATGCCAAGATTACGGCAGTTGATATTCCTTTTGTCACGAACGAGTGCAAACTCCAGGTTAACAGGATTGCGTTCAAACGCTGCGCCAAACTGAATCAAAGCAAACAAGGTTCTCGGGCAATGATTGTGCTTAAAATGTACCATTTTCTCGCGATATTGATAACAGAAATTACGCAAATGGAACAGAGTGAGTTCATCATTTTCCATTCAATAAAGATCAATGTTCAGAGTAGCCAAAAACATTTATCGGAGTACGTTTCTACACAAAGCGTTATTGCGTCCACGATGCTAGCACTATGTACGAAGCCAGTCTACAAGACGTTTCCTTGTGATACCTCGAATTGAGGAAGTAAAAATCATGTAGGAAACGTGCGGGAACAGCAATCCTTTGGCATTCAGTTTACCCACCACGCATCATATATGGGAAGTATAGTAAAAGAGCAAAAGCAATTTAGAATACAATGGCCGGAAAAATTCTGCCAGTCGTAACGCCGCTGTCGTTCTTTTCTCTCAGCAATTTCTTGGTACTCCGATCTTAAAATCAGCGACGCCCTGATTGATTCAACCTAGGTATCCTGTTGGTTGATCGGATGCCCGCACATCTTGTCAAATGATTACTTCCAATCAGCACAATAACAGGCAAACTCATATTTCCAAATCCCATGGACTATCGATGGAACTTTATTTTGTGCAACGAAATTTGGCTAACATTGGCGCACTATTGAGAAGAGCAATAAGTTGGTTGCCAAAAGAGCCACGTGTGTATCATCCACGTACGGTGTGACACAGCGATACAACCCGCGTCACCCATGTTATCCCAGAAGAACTAAACGTTATTTTAGGCAACTGCACTTTCGTATACGTATATCAGTTGACTATCCAGGAGATAACTTCTCACTGGCTGAGCCCTGTATGGTAACACACATGCTGGATTTGACTCCGTTTTATGGCCCGAAATACGTGAAGGTATTGCAAATTTCGACCACTTTCTCTGATGTGCGATTGGCTTGCTAAAAGTACATTTTGTCGACTGCTGGACCTTCAGAAATCATTATTACAAATACAAGCTGTGTATCAGTTGTACGCTTGTCGGTTGTTCCCCTTTGTTGGCTTGTTTCTCCAGTGTATTCAAGTGTATTCTCCCGCATGCCATGAATAATTACAACAATCACCCATCTATGCAACCCCGCATCGTTCCTAGTGCACTCGAGCTGGCGCGTCAAATGCCTCAAATCTTTCCGCTAGAGTGGAATCACCACTTAAAGACAAGGGAACTCAAAATTAAAAATTAATTGTCCTTTATTCTAGATGCCAGGTTTTCCCGCGCAGAAAGCATTTACTTTTTTTGTTGGTACTCATGAACCGATTGTTATTACTTTATTACTTTTGATATTATGATGTTATTATTACTATTACATTAATATTATTTTATTACTTTATTACTTTACTGCATACGCTAAGGCATATTCAAGTTTGTTCAAACAGATTTAAAAAGGGCACTTCAACTCTTACACAAATTTTTCACCCTACGATTAGTTTAAATTCCTTGCATCTAAAAGCACCGTTTTACCCCGAATCACTGCTCTAATATATAGCAAATGGTCATATAAATGTTGCTCTTTTTTACTGAGCTCCAGTACAATGTACGTCGACGAATTTTCAAGTGCTTCATGCACAATTCGGCCAAGCAGCAGACGTTACCGTACTCGGGCTTCAAAATGCAGCGTCACCTGATCCTAGCATTATTTACTAACCTGGACATTCCGGTCTTCCATCATCCGATTTGGCTTAATCATTCACATCAAGCTTTAAATCATCAACTCAGTACACTCGAAGAGTTCGTACCTCGAAGCGTTCGCCGAAAAAAGTTTCAACAAATTAAATATTATTCGCGTCGTACGGCTGTTTCTAAAGCCTTTTGCAATTCATACAGTGTGATGTATATATTGTCCTTAATCCGTTATCGCCGCATCCGTTGAAAATGTATCGTATCCTCCGAATATTTTTTTTCCTTTCCTCAGGTTCTTCATTCGATCAATGTTTAATGGCTAGTAAGTCAGTTTCTCAAGTGCTTGCGGAAAACATGAGAAACTAAACATGGG